TCACATTTCATTTCATCTTTCAGACTCCTTGTATCTGTAATAAGAATCTGATCACTGTTATGATCATCTGACCGTATCACAACATGTTCCATGGCAACAGGTGCACTATAGTTGTGCTGGCTAGAATCGAGAGTTATTTGAATTGGAATCTGGCTCGTGTCAGACACCTGTATAATAGACAAAATATTGTGTGTTGTTAACATAAGCAAGTTAATACATGTATAAGCATAGCAAAATCTGTTGCTTTAGACCTAACAATTTTGTATTGGCATGACTTCTTTAAACAAGAGCTGTCAGAAGGACAGCGCGCTCGACTTTTTTAGTGCTTGCCTATAAAACAAAACTTTGACAGTTAAGGGCACACAAGACTTTAACTAGGAATTTCTAAGTACAAATCAAGAAACATTTTCACAGAGTTATCTTCTCTTGCTTACAGATAGGTCTCATGATGGCACATAAGAACTCCAACTTCCAAAGTAATATCTCAAATGGTTAAGTCAACAAGTGGACAAGAATGAAAATCTTAACTGAGTTTCTAAGTCAAAAGGGCCATAATTCAAATAAAAATCCTTAACAGAATTACCTTCTCCTGCCCATGTTTTTGGACCATGATGGTAAAACAAGTATTCCAACTTTCAAATTAATATCTAAAACAGTTCAGTCAAAAAGTGGACTGGTACTAAAAACTTAACCAAGATTCTAAGTCGATAAAAGGCCTTAATTTTTAAAACAAATCCTTGACAGAGTTACCTTCTCTTGCGTACAGATGGGGGTAATGATGTGAAATAGCATTAAAAGTTTCAAAGCAATATCTCAAAGGGTTAAGGCAATAAGTGGATTTTACCCATATTCAATGTATTTTCTAAGTCAAAAAGGGGCATAATTCTGTCAAAAACCTTGACAGAGTTATGTCCTCTTGTCTGTTGATGAAGGTCGTGATGGTAAACAAGTATGGTCAGTTTCAAAGCAATACCTCCAATGGTTTTGAAATAAAGTGAGGTGGTACAAAAAACTTAACCAAGCTCAATACACTTTCTAAGTCAAAAAAGGGCCATAATTCTGTCAAAAACCTTGACAGAGTTATGTACTCTTGTCTGTAGATGGAGGTTATGATGGTGAACAAGTATGGTAAGTTTCAAAGCCATACTTGTAATACTTCTGAAATAAAGTGGGGTGGTACGAAAAACTTAACCAAGGTGTGACGCCAACGCTAACGCCGACGCCGGGGCGAGTAGGATAGCTCCCCTTTTCATAGAAAAGTCGAGCTAATAAACTAGACCTATCACTGAAGGTGATTAATACCCCTACCAGCAACTTTGACCTTTTGAAAAATAAGTAGTCTGAAGAAAAATTTGAACACAAACTATCAACTGTGTACATAGAAATATTTCAATTTATTGTAATCCCAACTGGGGTCTCCAAATAAGCTTGCTATACAAGTTTGATTACAATATCTCATTCCTAACTCTAGTTATTGTCCGGAAACCATTTTTCTATTTCTAGTAACACTGTAATGGTGACCTTGACCACAGGGGGTCAAAATGCAAAACCAACCAATGTCTTCATATAAGCTTCCTATACACCAAGTTTGATTACAATATCTCATTCCTAACTCTAGTTATTGTCCCAAAACCATTTTTCTATTTTTAGTAACGGTGACCTTGACCCTAGGGGATCAAAATGCAATACCAACCGGAGTCTCCACATAAGGTTGCTATATACCAAGTTTGATTACAAAACCTCATTCCAAACTCTAGTTATCGTCCAGAAACCATGTAGTGGACCGACCGACCGACAAGCTGACTCCTATATACCCCCCTAAACTTCATTTGTAGGGGTATAGTAAATTTCCATGTATTTAACTTAATATTTGGTTTAGACAAATTCTGTACCAGACAATCTCTGACGAAAGCTTCAATACCAAAGCATGTCTCACTTTAAACTCAGTCATATTAGTATATACACTGACCAAGATACCTAGAAAACATCTAATATCAAAGAAAAATTTTTAAACATCATTTCATTAAAATTGAAAACTTTTTGATCTGGTCTTCTTTAAAGAATGCATTCACATACAGATCTGATATGAACTAGAACTGCCACTATCATGGCGTGAATACCCCCGCATACCACTTTGTCAGAATCAACAGTGGCCATTTAGAACTCAAGGACAACCTCCCTGCCAAATCTGAGGTTACTAAGCCAGTGCATTGCTAAGTTATGTATTCTACATGCTTCAAATGTGAAAATGTCAAAATCAATACACTCTGGACAGGCACTCTGAAGCAATTGAGGGGAAAAGCTTTATTTGACAAGGTCCCTGTGACCTTGACCTTTGACCCAGTGACCTCAAAATCAATACGGATCATTTACTTATCATGACAAACCTCCATGCCAAATATGTGACCTTGACCTTTGACCTGGTGACCTCAAAATCAATAGGGGTCATCTACTAATCATGACTAACCTCCATGCCAAATATGAAGACTGTGGGTCATAGGAATCTTAAGTTATTGGGTGGACAAGCTTTTTGAAGTCAAGGCCCCTGCGACCTTGACCTTTGACCTGGTGACCTCAAAATTGATAGGGGTCATCTACTAATCATGACTTACCTCCATGCCAAATATGAAGACTGTGGGTCAAAGGAATCTTAAGTTATTGGGCGGACAAGCTTTTTGAAGTCAAGGCCCCTGCGACCTTGACCTTTGACCTGGTGACCTCAAAATGGCTTGGGGTCATCTACTAATCATGACTAACCTCCATGCCAAATTTGAAGACTGTGGGTCAAAGGAATCTTAAGTTATTGGGCGGACAAGCTTTTTGAAGTCAAGGCCCCTGCGACCTTGACCTTTGACCTGGTGACCTCAAAATTGATAGGGGTCATCTACTAATCATGACTAACCTCCATTAAAATATGAAGACTGTGGGTCAAAGGAATCTTAAGTTATTGGGCGGACAAGCTTTTTGAAGTCAAGGCCCCTGCGACCTTGACCTTTGACCTGGTGACCTCAAAATCGATAGGGGTCATCTACTAATCATGACTAACCTCCATGCCAAATATGAAGACTGTGGGTCAAAGGAATCTTAAGTTATTGGGCGGACAAGCTTTTTGAAGTCAAGGCCCCTGCGACCTTGACCTTTGACCTGGTGACCTCAAAATCGATAGGGGTCATCTACTAATCATGACTAACCTCCATGCCAAATATGAAGACTGTGGGTCAAAGGAATCTTAAGTTATTCGGCGGACAAGCTTTTTGAAGTCAAGGCCCCTGCGACCTTGACCTTTGACCTCAAAATTGATAGGGGTCATCTACTAATCATGACTAACCTCCATGCCAAATATGAAGACTGTGGGTCAAAGGAATCTTAAGTTATTGGGCGGACAAGCTTTTTGAAGTCAAGGCCCCTGCGACCTTGACCTTTGACCTGGTGACCTCAAAATTGATAGGGGTCATCTACTAATCATGACTAACCTCCATGCCAAATATGAAGACTGTGGGTCAAAGGAATCTTAAATTATTGGGCGGACAAGCTTTTTGAAGTCAAGGCCCCTGTGACCTTGACCTTTGACCTGGTGACCTCAAAATCAATAGGGGTCATCTACTAATCAAGACTAACCTCCATGCCAAATATGAAGACTGTGGGTCAAAGATATATTTAGTTATTGGGCGGACAAGAAAAAACCGCCGGACGGCCAGACGATCTGATTCCAGTATACCCCCCTTACAACTTTGTTGTGCGGGGGTATAATTAACAGAAATTTAAGCATTTTTATACCTTTCTTTAAAATCATATTGATAAGAAGAAATTCTTATGATTTTAACATAAAGATAAAAATAATAATGTTTTTCTTTTGTTAGATCTCTAACCATATTTTGAGCAGAATACCTTAAATCAAAATTGCTGCAGAAATTGAATTTTCCACTTGTAGTTATATGCAAAATTGAGAGAATTTGGTTGTAGGATGAATAGCTCTGAAAATATTTCTTTATCTCTGAAGTGTTGATAAAACATATAATACAATACCTGAATATTACAAGTGTTTGCATAGATATGTCCATTTACAAGCTGCACATTTATGTCATCCTGGGCCAATGGTACTGTCACAGTACCATCTCCCACAGTGTCCATTATACCTGAAGACAAAATGAAAAGGACTTCTTATTATAATATACATTGAGTCATTGACATTAACAGCAAAAATATATCTAATATTAAGGTTCATTGTGTCTGAAGCTGAACATTTAATGTTTCGATAGTGGATAGGAAAGATTACCAATGGGTATTTTTACAGGAACATTGCAGAAGCACCTACTTTGAATTGACTTAAAATGTTATGGCTAATAAATTTAAGCTCATATTACTGGTCAGTTCTGTTGTATAATTATTTTGCCAAATAGTTTCACTTTACTTCCATTTGTTCAAAAGATACAGAGCTGACAAAATTTGCTGATAGACTGATAGATGGATGGACTGCATAGCAATATACTCCAAAATTTTTTGGGGGGCGTAGAACAATCAAGCATCGTCAAGCATAGATGTCATATTTATACAACATCAATATATCAATTGTCGATATTCAACATTTGGTCCAATATTGTTTCAAAATTCTGAATATCTATACAATTTAAAATCCATGTCTCCCTTTCTTGTGAGAGAGGTCTGTTCTCTTCCTATTTGTTAACAGGCTTAAATATATAGAGGTCAGAGAGACAAAATAGGAAATACATTTTTCAGTTTTTTTGATAAAAAGGTATGTATTTGTGATCACTAAAACAAGCATGTATAACACCATGATGACAGTTTATAACACATTTTCATATGGGTTCTACTGTGCTAGCTACACTGTAGCCTCGATTACTCGCTCTTCACTATAACGCTAATATCAGTATAGCGCTCATAGACCTTGGCCCCCCCCCCCACCCCCCCAAAAAAAAACTTCAAAAAAAAAAATTTTTTTTAAGTAGACTTAGATTTATAGCGCGCTATAACGCTTGCACAATTTGACAGTCAAGTACAATAAACAATTGTTATTAGGACATTTATGAGCGCCAAAGGTGTGAAAAACATGCCTAGGTAAGCGTTTATTTGCTCTTTTGTTGTTATACCTGTCTTCAAATTGTTTCCAAAATCTCAAATTCATATCATAACTGTGACATTGGCAACCGGTGGTGAGTATAAAAAAACTAAAATTCACACACATATCTTTGACATGTAAACCTCACTGAATTAAATAACCCACAAGCCCAAAATCAACTGTAAATAGAGCGGCCATGACAGGAAGTAATTGGCGTCTGATTTACTAGGGGACACAACTAAAGCTGGACTGTAAATAACAGTGTTATTTACAATCCAGCTATAACAGTGTTATTTACAGTCCAGCTTTAGTTGTGTCCCCTAGTTAATCAAACGTCATTACAGTAATGGCAAACTGTTAGTGTTTACACTACATTCATGATTTATAATTTTCTTTCGAAAGTTTTTAGTTTCTTTTAAATATAATTAGTATTATTGTGAATATAATACATGTTTACATCATTGAATGGCTTTAGAAAAAGATAATGTCGATATTCATTGAACAGTAAGTAAAACTAGAACTCCGAGAGTCGGATGTGTCGCCTTGTGAACCATGTAGTTTAGGGGAAATGGCCAGGACAAAAATGAAATATGAAAAATAACAAAGGGCAATAACTAAAAAAATAATACGTGCAGAGCAGCATTTCTGTACACTGCACTTCTTATCAATAAGATCTATCATTCTATGATGTTTCAAGTCCATAGCTTTCATACTTGAGGAGAAATGACCAGGATAAAAATAAAAGTAAGAAAATCAACAAAGGGCAATTACTCAAAAATAAGAAAAGCAGAGTATCAGTTCTTATGCACTGCACTTCTTTTTAATGAGATCTATCATCCTATGAAGTTTCAAGTCCATAACTTTTATACTTTCGGAGAAATGGCCTGGACAAAAATTAAGTATGAAAATTAACAAAGGGCCATAACTCAAAAATTAAGAAATGCAAAGTACCGATTCTTGTGCACTGCACTTCCTAATAATGAGATCTATCATCCTATGAAGTTTCAAGTCCATAGCTTTTACACTTAAGGAGAAATGGCCCGGACAAAATTAAAAAATGAAAATAAACAAAGGGCAATAACTCAAAAAATAAGAAATGCAGAGTACCAGTTCTTGTGCACTGCACTTCTTCTTAATGAGACCTATCATCTTATGAAGTTTCAAGTCAATGGCTTTTATACATTAGGAGAAATGGCCCGGACAAAAATAAAGTATGAAAATTAACAAAGGGCAATAACTCAAAAATTAGGAAGTGCAGAGTACTGGTTCTTGTGCACTGCATTTCTTCTTAATGAGATCTATCATCCTATGAAGTTTCAAGTCTATAGCTTTTTTAGTTGAAGAGAAATGGCCCGGACAAAATTAAAGTATGAAAATTTACAAAGGGCAATAACTCAAAAAATAAGAACTGCAGAGTACCGGTCCTTGTGCACTGCACTTCGGGTTATTGAAAGAAGCATGCATACCAAGTTTGAAGTCAATCAGACTTATAGTGACTGAGTTATGCTCCGGACAAGCTTTAGCGGACGCCGACGCCGACAACGCCGCTGCCGCCGCCGACAAAAGTAACCCCTATATGTCACCTTTTCAAGGCGACACAAAAAATCAGCGTTATATATAATATGTGGTGGGTGGGGTAATGCGGTAATTTCGCAATGAGCGTTCTAATGAGAGCCTCGTTAGAACGCGGTTGTGAGACATTGGACCCCAACATGAGCGTTTTAATGAGGCTGAAGTGTATTTAATTCATTATGTCAATCTCTTGTTACTAATATGACAGCAGGCAAAGCCTATGAACAAAAAAATGTATGCATTTTTTATTTTACAATTTTCATGTTAAAATTGTAGTTCGGTATTTCATGCATGGTGAGCACCCAGTGATTTTTCGAAATACCCCGCCAATAGTGAGTTACATTAGAAATATTGGCGCTGAACTGGAAAGGAGGCTGAAAATTTCACTAATATATATTAGGCTATGGCTGCTTTTCCTAAAGTTGTGGGTTTTCCTTGAGTTGTTGGTAGGTTCAAAATGCACATGGAAATTTTGTATTTATTATTTGTTGTTAAGAAGTTGTAAATATTGTAATAATTTGGCCATTTGTCCGGTTTGGTTACATTTTTTGACAACATACACACACATATATATATATATATATATGCTTTACTTACCAAGAGTCATGGGAATTTCTTAAAATAGACCATTGACGTCACAGGAACAAGCATGGACATAATATATGCTTATATTAAATTATTTGAATTCCTTTTAAATTGACACATGTAGACTATAGCTGGGCAAGCCAAAGCCTAGGACCACAAACTTCCCCATATTTATTCTGATTTATTTGACTCTCCAACCAATACACGGATTGACAGTTTCAGAACTAGCAGACGACAGGCTATTCTTATAAGTAGAATTGAGAGTAAAGATAACCGATTGGGTATCTTACTGTATAAAACCTATGTAAAATGGTTTGACTTGTGGTAGGTTTCAGTGGTGTAATAAATTTTAAAATCGGACATTAAATCGGTTTAACTAACGGTTTAAAAAGGGCTAAATTTGCATTGTTTTAGCATTACTGATTAGAGATATCGATTTTACTCGAAGATAAGGGAAACAACTCGTGTTTTTTTCACTCGATATACCTTGGATATTTACGTAGTTCATATAGAGACTGTCAATGGGTGTACGTATATAAATACATAACTTTCCATCAAAGACAGTCTGAGGGCCTAAGAAACGAGGCTGGACTGACCAACTTGGAGATGCCAGATAATACTGATTGCATCTAACTTGAATATATAGTGAAGTGTCTTGCGGGGTGAAGTGTCTTCAAGATGTGAGGGGTAAAGTGTCTTGTTTCACCTGTAAACATACTTTACTTTACTGAACCAGATTTCAGGCTCAGCAGCGCACTGAGTATACGGTGAAGAAAAATGTCAGAACAGTAACCGAGTATGAAATACAGTCAACAGACACCTTACTGATTTATATGGAAGTAAAAATTAACAAAGTCACTCTTAGATGTTCAACTTACATGCAAAATGCACGAAAAACGCAAATCCTGCACTCCACCCACCAAAAAATTCAAGATGGCGGGTGGGGTGATGTGGCTAAATTCGAGTCTGTACAACGATATATCAAGAATTGAGTGAAGTAATACTGACGAACATTTACAAAAACGTACAACTTATTTATCCGGTAACGTGACACTATAAAATTTTTACTTTACTTACGGCAAAAACGATTTTATCGATAAAATATATTTCTTTGAGATGAAACGGCTTGGAGCAACGGAGATTCTCGGTTTTGATTGGTTAAAACAATGAATACAAATACCAAAAAGGAGTCTCTATTTAACAAAAAGGTTTAATAAATCCAATATCCCGGTTCTTGGTTTAAGGGAACTTCACGTACGTTCATTTGTCTGCAAATAAAGTCGATAATAAATAATAATATAGATAGCATTTCTGTAAGACCAGTTATGTCCAAGTTTATAGATAAATTAAATACATGTAGATATCAGAGGTCATCTCATGCACTAGGTCTTTTTTATATGGTCGCACCCAACAGGTGGTTGTTGATGGTCAAAACTCTGTCCAGATTTCAGATTAAAGTTTTTATGCAGTAAAATTTTTTTCTCTATAACTTTTTAATTCTTAAGTTATCAACTAGAAATATATGTTCCTTATCATCAATCACATCTTATGTGATAAGATTCATAACTCTAGCAAAAGTATTTTTAGATTTATCTCCCCTTGAACTTAGAATTTTCCTAAAAAATACTATTTTTTACTGTTTCTTCCTTATATTTTAAGGGATCAACTTCATTCTTGAAATATATGCTCCTTATAATTAACCACATGTTATGTGAGAAAGTTCATAACTCTGGCACCAATATTGCAAGAATTATCTCCCCAGAAACTTAGATAAGCATTGATATAAGCATTAACATGAACATTTTCTAAGCATTTATATTTATCATTGAAATGTTGCTAACCCTTCTAATCTAATTGTGCGCACATTGCTCCTTTAATACAGTATGCCACTCCCTCGATGCATAAGGCAGAAATATGACAGATGTCAGTATGTGAAATCAGTTTGCCTTTCTCCTGACAAAACATTGATATACTAAAACTTGACCAATACTTATGGTGTTATTATTTTTTACCATAAGAGAATCAACCGTTCAAGTAGGCTGAGCTTAATTCTCCATATTTTGAAACTGTCATATGGACCACTAATAGTTTCACTTAATGATTTTACTTAATATATATTGTGCACACTGTCAAAATATACAGATAAGTGAGATAACTGAAGTAAAAATTTGCAAATCTCTTGCTGATGATTGGATGAAAAGCACAAGAAGGGGCAGACTGAACTATAAATTAATAAATGAGAGCATATAGTCCACACTTTGGTTTGTTAGTCTGTCACAGTGTCATTTAATACTTTACAAGTTATTTTCTGAACAATATGTGTGTCAGAAAATAACTTGTAAATTATTAGATGAGTTTAATTTAATCTTCGCGCAGTTTGTAGTAGTTGTGCAAAATCTTTCATGTAGCATATTATTTGGGCGCTATAAAAGGCGCCAACATGAAACATTAGATACTTACTTATCATGCCCATTTTCAACTTACAAATTTGTTGTCAAAATTGCATACTAAGTAAAATAATATTACAACCATGAAATTTATAAACATAAAAGTTTAAATACTTGTTTATCATGACAAGGTATGGTTGTTAGACAATGGTCATTAATTTGAAAGCCATTTTTTGGTGCTATGTCTTTTTAAGTTAAAATTTTGGCTTATTTATTTCTTGTATCAAAAATACTTAAGAATTCTAACACGACCCGCAATTTTCCCTATTGAACATAGAAGAACAAAAAATGTGTGTTATTATGCAACAGATGCACAGTTTGACGTTCTAAATTTAGACATGTGACGTTATCATTATACACGTAAAGTAACCACTAAAAATCTGACGCCCTGAAAATAAGTTCGGAAACAAATCAGGCGCAATTTTGCTTAACTATCAAGTACCTCAGCATAATTATATCACTCGGGCTACGCCCTCGTGAAATAATTCCTCGCATCCGAACTCCAAACAGTGATGTTATTGAGCGATAAAACACTGTTTGGGTTATATTATTTCTTAAATAGAGAATGTGAAACTGTGATTTTATAGCATAATAAAACACACTTTCTGTTCTATGTTCAATATGGAAAAATGCAGGTCGTGTTAGAATGAACCATATAACCTTTCAAAAGTTTATAAAAACCTTATGAAGCAAATGTTTCCTGTCAGAAACAAGAAATACCTGGAGCATTGATATGTAATATTACTTTAAGGATTTCTACTAATATTAAATAAATAAGTCTCTAGCACTTGGTTTGAATAAAGTGGTGTGTCTTCTTTATGAAAAATAATTTTGCACAATATGTTCTCGCATTGTTGACCCATCTTGAATACCATTATGCTGAGGTGCAGTGTCATTATCATTGTCCGGGTCTGTGCTGCTTTCGTTGTTAATAATATCCCCTCTTATAATGCCAATGTTATGAAGCACAGCACTTGCAACCGTGTTTACTACTGCTTGGTTTGGCTGCACATCCATTTCATAATGTAGAATCTAGTAAAAGAACATTTACCTTAATAATGTAATAAAAGTAAAATAATTATAAATTGTACATTAGAAGAATAGAGTGATATTTTGTCCTGTTGTGCTATGTACACTTAATGTATTGTATGTGCCTTTTTTGATAAATTTCATTTATACTGAATCATATCTCTTTGTAAAAATAACACACTTGAAACTTGTGAAATTACAAAGTTGATTGTAAAGTTATTGTATCTGTGTTTAAATGTTTAAAGCTATATCATTACAAAATTTTTGTTTTACAATTTTTGAGGTAATAATTATTAAATAGTTGTTTGAAAAAAATTATTTTATTTCTTAGCTTTCTACCCTTTAAAGTTAATTGTTATGATTTGTTAAATCTTACAATTTTTGAGGGAATAATTATAAAATAGTTGTTTGAAAAAAAATATTTTAATGGCGCTTGTAAAACATCATAATTACATGGAAAAAACCCTACTTGAAAATAGTAGTATAGTATTTTGATCAATATGCATGTGTGTTAAATAACTATATAGCATATTATGGACTGTTTTTGAAATTGGAATTTTTAATTGGAATATAGTATATTAGGAAGATTGGTGTGTAAAGAGGTCAATTTAGCACATCTTCAACGCAAATTTCACACTGGCCCAGGGCCTATGGCGTTACCAGCAACTGGAGCAACGGTGGCACAGGAAAATTCCGTTTTGTTCTTCTGCATAACGACGGCAACAATGACAAGATGTAAACAATCGTATCGGGATGAAAACGATATCTACGAAACACCTCATCTTCAGAAAGATCTTCCAAGGGATTAGAACGATCTTTAAATACCCTTGGAACACGATTAGAATGATTGCTAAGCATATTCAGTCTACGGACGCGGAGATGGGCCGCCATATTTGTTTTGATCTCAATCTGAGCTCAGACTCAAAAAGAAGGGTTTTATTAATCTCAGACTCTGAGCTCAACTTGAGACTGAACTCAAACTCAATTTTTTTATAATCTCAACTTTCCTGAGTTTGATCTCAAAGGTGAGCACGGAGCTCGTTTCTGAGCTGGGAGACCGATCTCAAATGTTTATAACCTCGGGGCCTGTTCTCTCTGGTGTCCCCCAAGTCTCGGTCCTGGGACCTTGCCTCTTCTTATCCTACATAACGACCTTCCTGGTACTGTTATGGGCAAGGTCAGGCTATTTGCAGACGATACAATAGTATATTAGTTTTAAAATATTAAGAGTTTTTTTCGTTTTTCGTGAAATATGGAATCTATTTTCTGGAAACATGATAAAATGCCACATATTTTCACGAGCCGGGACGGCGAGTGCAAATATGTGGCATTTTATCATGTTTATACCATATTTCACGAAAAACGAAAAAATAACATTTTTATTTAATCTCATTATCAAAGAAAAAGGTTGATACGCAGCTGCAATAGTAAAGCGCACAGTAATATATTATTTATAGATACGTCTTGTTTTGCACGCGATATTTGGCGCTACATTGTGACGTCACGTAAACAACTCTTTTAACGTCTCTACAGCGTTAATGACTGAATTAAAGATATTGGTGTTCGGATTTATTTTCTTAGTTAGACCATTTTTCTAATATTCTAGATAGATTTCAAAACAAAATTCAACAGAAAGTTCTTTTGTATTTATCAGATTTTCAAACAAAACGTGGAAAAAAATCCCTTAGAATAAATATGAGTTTTGACTCCGTCCACTTTCATATTCATATTTCATATTTATTTAAAAAAAAATATGAACTATATATGACTGACATAGCACCATATTTCATGGGTAAAATTAAATAATAAGAGGATATTTTTTAAATATGTGACATTTTATCATGTTGAGTGAAAATATATACCATATTTCACGAAAACGAAAAAATAACCTTTTTATTTAATTTCATAATCAAAGAAAAATGGTAACGAACCCCCTTGCTTGCTACGCAACTGCAATTGTAAAGCGCGCAGTAATATGATTATTGTCTTGTTTTGCACGCGATATTTAGCGTTACATTGTGACGTCACGTAAACAACTCTTTAAACATCTGTACAGCGTTAGTTACTGAATTAAAGATATTGGTGTTCGGATTTATTTTCTTAGTTAGACCATTTACTATCATTCTAGATAGTTTTCAAAACAAAATTCAACAAAAAGTTGTTTTGTATTTATCAGATTTTTCAAACAAAATGGCGAAAGAAGTCCCTTAAAATAAATATGAGTTTTGACTCCGCCCACTTTCATATTTATATTTCATATTTATTTTGAAAAAATATGAAATATATTTCATGGGTAAAATTAAAAAAATGAGTCAAATTCGGTATCTTTAATCTGCCAAAAATATAACTTTTATACAGAGCGTGCAACATATGTAACTTCAAAAGTCATATTCGGTATCTTCTGTCCGCCACGGACATGACTTATTTAGAACATGCAACGAATATAACTTGTAACTTTTCTTTTTTTAACGGCCCTAATTTAATGATTTTTTGCATGTATTATTATTTAAACTCTACCAATTTTGTGACATTAAAAAATTAGAAAAAGAACAAATTTTAAAATAACGAGTAATATTCGGTATTTTCTGTCCTTCACGGATATGACTTTTTATATAAAAAAACGCAACAAATATAACTTTTTATCACATAAACCGCGGCGCAGGAGTGTAATAAAGCCATTTAATAAAAACGATATTACACTAGTGTAATAACACTTTGACGTGACGTCATTTTCGTTATAGATAAACATAGCGTTAAAGCGCGCTAATGTAAGCGTTACACTATAGGCGCATCATTGAAAAATTACTCATTTTAACAGTTTACTGTTCTAATTATATATATATATGTGATAAATAGAATATTATATTCGTGCAGATTTAATACTAAATTTATTGAACTCGTTGAATAAAACAATATTATGCTCGCCAGAGGCTCGCATAATATACAACTCGTTCAATAAATTTAGTATTAAACTACACTCATTCAATATCCTCTATTTATTAAAACAAATGAATATTGAAATCCTATCAAATAAATCTAAGATATGGAACAGTAGACATCTACATCTAGGCTACAGCATATATAAGAGTTACTAAGAAACTGTTAATTGACTTATTTAGTGAAGCAAGCAAACACTCTGTATAAATAATGAAACAGCATTTATTACATGCTTTTCGGTTGTTTATAGAAATATATCAGTGATATAAAACTGATAATTTCACTGTTTTAAACAGCAAAATTATCAATTTGATAATTTCACTGATTTGAATTTAAGCCCCTTACATTGTTTCAGTGAAGTACCAGCGTGCACAGTATTGGGAACCAACTTCATGACGTGGCGTCGTAAATGACGTCACGTTGTATTATTAATTGGCGCACTTTTCATTCAGTATTAGGTTTAATGTCTTTTTAAAACGTTTCGTTTCATATAATAAAAAGAAAATTTGTTTAGTTTAGTGTAAGATCGAAATATATTTCACCTTGTGAACACCAAAAGTTCATATTTCACTCGTGGCTGCGCCACTCGTGAAATATAACTTTTGGTGCTCACTCGGTGAAATATAGCCCGATCTTACACTGAAATAAACAAAAATCCTCTATGTAAAAAAAGTACTTACAAACATCTATTGAACGTGTTCAAAGACTTTCATGTATAATACAGCTCTGTGATCGAAAACATAAGTTATTATGAATTATGTGGAATTCAAGTGGAGCTTAGCATCTTTTTGATGTTTAGAACCAAAATGTTCAAAGTTTTGTTCAATGGACATCCCAGTTTATATACTAATCTATTTACCCGAGATAATAATGCATGTAATAAGGGATAATAATTATGTGCATAAATATAAACTTTGATTCTCATTGACTTGTTAAAATGATATTTTGTAATTTATTTTTTGCTTGGCAACACATTAAATGCAGCAGTGGTTATGTTAAAGGTGAAATAAATAAATAAATAAATAAATAAATAAATGAATAAATAAATATAAATAAATAAATAAATAAATAAATAAATAAATAAATAAATAAATAAATAAATAAATAAATAAATAAATAAATGTGGAGGAAAAAAAACAACAAGAAAGTGACCCAACTTCAACTCAGTAATTTTACGATTGTTACTTTCTACTTCTTTATAGACCTTTGGGGTACTCTCTACTTTTCATTTTGAAAAACAACTTTATGAAATCTTTTAACTGCGGGAAATAGGATGATGGACACGGCCGGATCTGTTTCAAAAGTAAGAAATTGTTTACAACTTTATTTTATTCTACCCATTGACTTTGTAATAATTCAAATAATGGAAAAGAAAAATTATATTCATCTCTACAAACCAATATACTTTAGATACTGACTCTTACAGAGATGTTGATAACGATTCGCCCCACCGACTACTCGCCCCAACTTCATGATGAGTCGCTCCACTTTGGTGTCGATTGACATAATTTAATATTTAATAAACTTCATTTTTATTCTGTTTGTTCGAAAAATGATATATTGTGTATAAATTTGGTAAAGTGATGTATATCATAAATTAATTTTGAGTTACCAGATAATCATAATGTGTGGTATATTCACCAAGTTGACCAACTTTGAATTCGTTAAAAAACAGACTTGATAAAGTTATGAGAAACAAATTACATACTGTCATACCGGAAAATAATTATTGGGTGTCAGACCTTGATTGGGTTATAAGAGATTTCTGATTTTGCGGCCCTACGCTGGATAAAATAAAGTAATAATTCATAAGTTAAGGAACATTTTTATTTTTGCAACAACATAGATCACAGTTACATAAAAATGATATACATATATATAAAATAACAGTTTAACAAATTAAAATATCATTTCATATAAATGATACATTAAATAAGTTAATGACTGCAATCAGATGAGGCATTGTATAAAATTATCTAAAAAAAACACACAACAGTAATCGGAATGAACTAGGCATGGTCAGCTCGGCCTAAAAATAATATGAAAGTAGGCAAAGCTTTGAAGGGTGAGTCTGATAAGTCTTAGACATAAAAAAGGAAAAACAAATGAAGAGAAATTACTGAGACTTCGCTTTTTTTGGTACTGTATTCGGGTAATAAATATTTATTTTCTCTGTTTCAGGGTTGTTTTGTTTTCAAAGGAAAGAAGAAAAATGCAAATATAGGTATGCCCTTAGATATTAAAGCCACGTCCTGTGGAATCTACTTGTTCCTGTTTTATTTTAATGAACGCCAATTTAAATTATCCGACATTCATTGGCTGTGTAATACTTCAATATTTGTAAAAGATAAAATGCATGTTGAACTTGAAGCTGAAGGTCAGACAGTCTATTGAAGTGATAGGGTACTTTGTTGTCAAAAGTTTAATTATATAAGTCTAACAACTATTCATATGCCTGGAACAATGTGCGTTAAAGCAACTAAAGTCTGAACAATAAACCCTTGATAAATTAACAATTTTTTTATTAAAGGAATTGCTAGGTTTGCTTCACACAATTTTTTCAGCTTGATTATTTGCAAGGATGAAATGATAGGAATTGTACTAGGAAGGCTATCAGTTTTGTCATGATGCGGTGTTAATTTGTGTATTAACCTGCTGAATAATGAATTAGGATATTGGATTTGCCCTGCTTTGAATTTAGAACAGTCCATTTGAAGATTGAAGGGATTTTAAAATCAAAATTCAAAAATTGATCTACCAACAGTATAGAGCTATATCAGACTGCACAGGTGTACAGGCTGGCCTGGCTCTATGCTGGTGGCAAGGGGTAATCACTTTTGGTTTAAGGGTTAAATTGTAAAAAGTTTAGTACCAGTATAATAAGTTGATTTATACCCATCTTGTGGATTTAAATATTTCAGATGACTATTTGCCAACTGACAAGACCAGACGGTCACGGCTGTGTCATACAACATTTGTTCAAATGTGGGAGGAGATAGATATGCAAATTCAGGTACTTATTCAATATGTTGCCTGTTCATGCCCTGAAACCTAGTTATGGTGATAATCAGTAAATAGTCAGAAAGGCACTATCTCTGAAGGGATGAAGCTATTTTTCATTTTGTAAGAACACTGAAATTAGTAATAGCCCAACAGCCAAAAACTAGTAGATTTTCTCTTGAGCTAATTAAAAATTCTAAATTTACAATTATTTACAAGCCTTACTTGCCTAATTTGTAAAACTATTAAAGGGTATAAAGCTATATCTTGTGGATGTTTTTAAAAAGTTTGTAGATGGTAGAATAAGGTTGTTTCCATAATCTTGTATAAATTTTGTTACAGATTCTGCAAGCTGATTTCAACTGTAATATATTTGAAGAGTTGCTGAACTTCACCCAAACATGTCATGAAAAATTCTCACTAGAAGATAAATGTTTCAATAATGCAATTGATGAAATACCTGCAGCTGCCCTTGTTACAGGTTTGTAAGAGTTGTCTCCCATTATTTATGTGCTACTGCTTTTGTCTCGAGTTAGCAAAAGTTGCCTCCCATGTGTTGCTATTACTTGTATTGCTGCTAAAGAAGAGTTTTGCGTTTGTTTTATTGTGCAAAAAAAGAAAAGCAGAGCCAAACAAAAGAATTTTTTTCTTGATGTAAATGCCGAAATAGAATCTGAACAAATTATTCTTTGAGGAAAGGCATATAAATATAACAATAATAACATCAGTATATGCTTGTAATGTCATAAAAAACAATAGAAAGTATTGAATACTTAAAAATCATTACATACAGTATGTATTTTTTTTCAAATTGAAAATGACTGTACTATAGTAAAAAAAACTTTCAGGTTTATAATTAAGTAAGAATAAAGTATATAAATAAAATAAATATGCTAGTGTTTAAGGGTTGAGGGCAAAATGTTTTAATTTTTCAGTGTTTTCACTTTTATCTCCCATTTTGCAGGTGTGAACACGCCTGATCACAGTACGATGTTCAACAACCTGATTGTTATGTTGCGTGAGAGAGTTACACCACAAGTTGCTATCCTCAAGTCCAAAGACTGCCAGAATGTGAAAAGTATTCTTAGTAGGACCCTGAGTCAACTACTGGATAAACAGTACATGGTATGATTCAAATATGTTGTTTTGATATTGTTCACATAACAGTGTAGGGCCTATGATAACAAAGTGTTTCTCTTCCAACAATGATCACCATTAGTTTTCTAGCCAAAACAATATAATGCCCAATAGAATAAATTTTGTATTTTGGTTACCTTAGCCAATGAGTTAAACAAGCCTAAAAACATAAAAAAAATTCATTCTTGCATAGATGAAGTGAAGCACTGAAAATGGAAAAAAAATCTGCAAAGGATAATAAGGAAATATACTTAGAATGAAATTGAATACCGAGAATTTGTATGATTCTTAGCCTGATTTGAGTGAAAAGCGTTGCAAGGCTATTCATTTCTGGATCACTTTGGACAATAAAAAAGATCATTCTGAAAAAAAATTGTGTGAGGCAATGATCTGAAAATTTGCAAACACGCTATTGGTCCAGGCATACATCAAACGGTACACAAAATATTTCTAGTCCCGTCATGTCAAAAATCCTCTGTGGGGTCCCTTTAAGAAGAAAGCAGAATCACAGCTCTGATTCTAAACATGAAATATATGCAAATAACATTGATTCCACATGTACATGTTCTTTTTATGAAAAAAATGTTCAGTTAAAATGTTTTTTGCCTAATTATATGGATTACCTTAAAGTGGATTGTTCTACAATAGGCATATTGTCCATAAGCTTTCCAAATATATATGTTTCACTTGAATATTCTGATAAAGTATTTCTAAGTGATTTAATGTGAACATTTATATGATGAATAATAACATTTTGATCTAGAACATTTTATTATCTGCTATCATACAGCATCATTAATGTACTATGTCTTTCATGGTTTGTTGTTATTTCTGATACATAATTCTTCAACACAAGCTTTCTTTAGTATTTTGCAATCAATATATATGCATGGACCTTGTAGTAAAACCCTAAAAAAATATACCTTCGGAAACTTGACTTTTGGCAGGTAGTTTACGAAGACCTGTCCAGGCATAAAAATCGTAATATAATATCGTAATATGTTAAATATGTGGCGACTGTCTTGTCTTTCTCTGTTATAAATTGGTATTTTTTAGCCAGCATGTATTGGTGTTCATAAAAATAGAATTTGCAATGAATAATAACAGGTTTGGCCTCTTTTGTATTATTTATTCACTTGTGACACACAAGATTATTACCCCACCCACTCATAATAATAATTCAAAACGTTCAAATTGCATTATCTTAAAAATACCTAATGTCTACAATTGAAAAGAGGTTCATATTATAATTATATCACATAAGCTTATATAAATAAAGAAACATAATCACTTAAGTCATTTTAAAAACAAAATGTAACATACGTTACATCAATTACATTGACATTATTCTAGCATTTTTTAACTATTTTTGAAAATTTATGAAAATGAAGAAAACAAACTTAGTTACAACAAACAATGCATATGGTTATATACTCAATTTCTGAAAGTAACACGTTATTTAGTCTTTTGCTGTGTCATTTAACATATTTGTACGTTACCAAAGTCTCATCCATGCAAATATTACCCATAAATGTTATGCAAACTATCACTTTTAACATGATTTAGTAGAAATAACTCCATTTATCATCGCCAGGATTTGTCCAACTTATCTAACACTTAAGTTAGTGAAGAATAAATGCTGAAAAGCTGTAGTTATGTCTTTAGTAATGGTACGAAATTAGAATTTTTTACGTACAAAATGCCAATTTCATTTCATGTATCATTTAGGTTGCTTTAAAAAATATTTCACCTTTGAAATTGAATGCCATCACATCTTGTTTAACCTATTTATGTTTTCTTCCTTATTATATAAAGAGATATTTAAAAGTGATCTCCACATCTCTATGTCTCTCATAATGCTCATTAGTTCGACTACACCTAGTCACATTTAAAAAAAGTTATCCTTTCAATAACTTTCAAAGTATTGCATAGTGGTTAAAAAGCTTTCTCCTGTGTTTTCGATGGTCTTTTCACTAGATTTGCAAGTCGTGTTTTTGCACTTTTCATGAAAAGAACGTCTTGAAATGACTGTTACTGTTACAACAATGGTGGTAACGTATTTTAGCTGTCAGGAGGCCATTTACGCCTTTGATTCTTCCTAGGACCTTACTTCACGCTTAAAGTGTCTTGTTTTACACAAAGACTTGATTTAAACATGAAAGTCGAAGGTTTCAACTTTACTGACAACATCGCCACGAAATTTATGTTCTTTCTGCAACTTACACAGTTATTGTCTTAAATAAATATACGTTCAACATTTTTTTCTTGTTTCTGAACTTCTAATCATAATTTATTATGGTCTCTTGCAGTTTTCTCTTCTCGTTGTAATGATAACAATACTCTTTTCTATCATTTCGGCTTTACATCCAGTCATCTAAAATGGAATTAAAAAGAGATTACAAAAAACATTGTCTGGTCTTAAAAAATAATACTATTCATCAAATAAATTTTACCCAAAAAGTGGAGTCCTCTTCAGAGAAATGCATAAATTTGGGTGCACTATAGAGCAAGCGTATGTTCAACGTCAAATACAGCTTTCATGATCACAGACTCAATCAAACCATGCCTGTAATTTTCAGTAAATTTGCTGTTTTTAATGCTTCCGAGGGATCACTTATTTTACCAGATATTTATACATCACAACAGCAGATGTGAAGTGCTGTGTGGCAGCCGTAAAAAGTTGCCCCGTACTTCACTTCAGTATTGTAATATTTTTCTGGTCTTTCGGGATCATTGAATCCAGCACTTTAAAGTGTTGAGAATTTAGTACCGCTCAATCCGGTGCTAGGGGGCATGAGGGATGTTGCACTTTTTCATTATCCGTCATATACAGACTCAATCAAACCGGTTCTGCAATTTTCATGTAAATTTGCTCTTTAATGCATCTGAGGGATCACTTTTTTACCAGATATTTAAATTACATCTGTAACTGTTATTGACGAGAGAAACAGAACTCAATAAAAAGGAGGCATTTCCCCTGTGGTCACACGGTTGTAGGTATGACAGGGCTTTCATGTTTTGCTTATCAAAAAAAGCACCCGAACTATTTATCAATCACTATAAATGAGTTATCTGTTCCTGCTGTAGTTTTCATAAGTATAGGACGAACAGCATAAGGAAAGAAAAGCAAACAGACAGACAAACGCTATTAAAGATAGGCAGATGTTTACAGTATCTCTGAATCAAGTTTTACAACTATTAAATTTTATTCTTTGGTAAAGACAAAAAACTGAGAGCCAGACGGACAGAAAGGCAGATGTTTTTAAACAGAAAGACAGACGGTGTAGATGGACATAAAGATATCCATATTAGATCAAACATCTTTGATTCATTACGTTTGTATTGAAACTATCTCATCTCATGTGTTTGTAAAATTGTACAACGAATTTAACACTCAAAATGGGGATCTATTACCAATGGCAAAGCTGCAGTAAACTCCGAATATAGCTCCTCATCAATATTTGTAGCACAATTTAGTTAAACCAGAAACACATATAGCATGTTATCTACACTTCAGCCTCATTAAAATGCTCATTTTGGGGTCCAATGTCTCAACACCGCGTTCTAACGAGGCTCTCATTAGAACGCTCATTGCGAAATTACCGCATTACCCCACCCACTGCATATATATTTAACGCTGATTTTTTTACTTACTGTTCAATGAATATCGACATTATCTTTTTCTAAAACCATTCAATGATGTAAACATATATTATATTCACAAATAATACTAATTATATTTAAAAGAAAGGAAAAACTTTCGAAAGAAAATTATAAATCATGAATGTAGTGTAAAACAGGTAGCCATTACTGTAATGACGTTTTATTAACTAGGGGACACAACTAAAGCTGGACTGTAAATGACACTGTAATTTACAGTCCAGCTTTAGTTGTGTCCCCTAGTAAATCAAACGCCAATTACCACCTGTCATGGCCACTCTATTTACAGTGCAGGATTTTAAATTGATTTTGGGCTTGTGGGTTATTTAATTCAGCGAGGTTTACATGTCAAATATATGTGTGTGAATTTTAGTTTATTTATACTCACCACCGAATGCCAATGTAACAGTTATGATATGAATTTGAGATTTTGGAAACAATTTGATGCATGACTGATGGACAGGTAAAACAACAAGAGCGGATAAACGCTTACCTGGGCATGTTTTTCACACCTTTGGCGATCATAAATGTCCTAATAACAATTGTTTATTGTACTTGGCTATCAAATTGAGCAAGCGTTATAGCGCGCTATAAATCTAAGTCTACTTAAAAAAAAAACTTTTTTTTTTTGGGGAAGTTTTTTTTTTTTTTGGGAGCCAAGGTCTATGAGCGCTCTACTGAGATTAGCGTTATAGTGAAGAGCGAGTTATCGAGGCTACAGTGTATGTCTCTGGTTAAACCATGGAGCTCAACAACAATTTGAACTGCTTACTGTGACTGTAAAATAAGTTTTCTCCCTTTTTTGGAATCACAATTTTGAAATTGCATAATCATTGTAAATTCTGTATCTGTTTTGACTCCCCTGACATCTCATATATCACTAGTATGAAAAAAAGATAATATACTCACGCTCAGTATTACCTTTCAATTCTTATCTTCCAAATGTTATTAAAATGTAAACATAGTAGCTATCATGCACAATGACATTTTTTTACCAAAAACTAATGATCTGTTAATAAATATCATGCATTTATGATAATAAAATTAATAACAATTTATTCTAGATTTCGTGCATTATTTACCCAAACACGCTTCCGTAGTTACATTTTGAAGCTACCCAGGATAAACTTAAATTTGTTTATTTTTATTTTTCCTACTTCATAAACATCTTATCATCAAAAGGAATGTTACTATATAGGCTAATGATTATTTATATCTCATGAAAATTGCAAAATCTTCACTGTTTTAAACGACAAACACTGATTAATATACACACGAAAACCCATTACAATTCATTCATTGTATTTGATATTTGGGCATGCATGAGGCTAAAACATGTAAAAACAAGTAAATATAATATGAAAATATATACATACTTTGTACAACAGCTTCAAAATTCAACTCTAAGTAGTAAATGTGTAAATTTTGATATATTTAAATCGCGCGGCCTCATAACTTTTGTTTACCTCGACACCGGTTACAGTATAAAACTCTGTGTATGGTGTACATGCAGAGCCATATAAAAACTCGAAACAAATGCAAAATTTGAATTGCTTTTTTTACTGGTTTGCCATGGTTAGATTTTTTTAGGGTTTTTACCTGTTTTATATGATGTGTATTACAAACTAAAAATGTTAAAAAAGCTTGTGTTGCAATTTGTTTGACGTTAAATTTTTCTTTAATCGGACTAATAACAGACCTTCCACTGTAGACCAATTCACTTTAAAGTAACATTGCCTTCTTGGCATTTTTTTTTTAGGATGATGATGTGGTTGATAATGAAGATGCCGAACTGAACTCAAAATCTTTACCTTTGACCCTTGCCACGTTGTCAAAATGGTACAGAAATAAAGTAATGGTAAGTCAGATGTCTGTCTTCTCATATTTTTGTTTATCTAAACATTTAACTTACTTCTTGAATATTTAAAAATGCTCGCAATATGGAGGTAAATGTCAAGAATTTTTTGTGTTTTTGTTAAGTGAAGTTAACAATGTTTTTGTTCTTGTTACAAATTGATTGTTACAAATTGAAACTGTTTTTGTTATTTTGTAGTAAGTTGGAATATATTTATTATTCTGAAGACAAGTAGGGCTAAAAAGAGATATTTGTCTCTTATACTGGTTCTTTTGAAAATCTTATTGAGGAGACAGTATTGCTTTTGGAAGGCGTCTGGTATTTTAGAGGTAACTTGAGCTAAGAGTGTTATATTTAGGTTAGCATTATAACGAGTCGCGTTATAATGGGCTGCCAGTGTACTTACTTGATGGTTTGTTTTGTCAAATGTTTCAACTGTAATGTCTCTCTTTGTCAGAGAGCCAAAAATTTGTCATCACCAAAGAAGCGTAAATCTACAGATGGAACACCTGTTGCCATGGCAACCTACCCTCCAGTTGTTGTTGTGATGGAAGACTTTGAAAACTTTGTACCGAGAGTTATTCAGGACTTCATAAAAATTGCCAGGTGATTTTTACATAACTTTTCTATTTAGATCAGATTTGAACAAGAACATGGCTTAGCTGAGGCTATTAAATTTGATCATTCTTAGTAAAAGCATTCAGTGTATTCTCTTTGTATACCATATTTCAGTACACATTCTTTGTGTATCTGGTATGTACTCTCATTGTATACCAGTATCAGTATGCAGAATTTATTTTAGTTTGATTATGTAGAAAGATATAAGCTTTAAGAGACACTTTTGAATATGTTCCTTAAATAAACCAGTTCTAAGAATTTGTGTAAAGTTTCATGATTGTGAAAACAACTACTTGCTTCTGACGAGATTTGGTCCATTCAGTATACATTACTGTAGTTCTAATTGTACTTACATTGTATATGATATATCCGTTTACTCTGCATATCACATTTCAGTGTACATATACTTCTGTTGTTTATCATATTCAGTATTCTATCTTTGTGTACCAAATGTATTCTCTTTATAAACTTTTCAGTGTGCTTAATATTATATTTCAGTAATTACATCAATGAAGTGCCGTTAGTTTTCATATTTGGGATAGCTACATCTGTCTCGGCCATTCATCGTCTGTTGCCTAACGAGGTGTCATCACTACTGTGTATGGAGAAATTCCAGGCTCCACCATCAAGTGAATATCTCTCCCTGGCTATAAATAAGGTGACTTTGTTCTTATATTACTTTTCTGACTTATTACAATCATTGTTCCCTCTAGAAGTTAGATAGAGGTTATGGAGGTCAGTGTTTATCTTGAATTTAGATATATATTAATAAAACTTATCTTGGGAATGCTAAAGACATATGAGTGTAGTTGGGAATGCTGTCTTAATATCGTGAAATGTTCAAGGTTCAAACGGTTTAGAAAAATGAAAGAAATTAACTATTTAATGCTATTTTTTACTTGTTAAGAAAAATAAAGTAAATTAACTACTTAATGCTATTTTTAACATGCATTAACCCTACATCAAATGAAATGAAGTTATTGAAGTCATTTTCGATTGCAAGTAATTAGAATTTAATCAATTTCAAGCCTTAAATAGTGCTGGCTCTGTACAAGTGGCACAGGGTAGTCAGGATCAACAATCAGATGAAAACTTAAAGTGGTAACTTCTACATGATTGCTCTAAACCTCACAATTTAAAGCATTATTGCAAAACAAATTTGAGGTGTTGAAGGGTAGAAAGACATATAAAACCTACTTGAACATATGATATTCGTAAATTATTTTGTTACACATTTTCCTTTAGATTTTGATGACAGAAAATTACCCGTTCAAGTTAGGTCAAGGCGTGTTCCAGCTGCTATTAGATATTTTCCTGTACCATGACTTCTCTGTGCTCAACTTTAATCAGGCTCTAAGGGTAAGTTCCTTCTAGTGTTTTGTTGCAGAATCTTTCACTTTTGAATCTAATCATTAAACATGCAATTAGGGCAGAGTTAACTTAAGACACGGGGAAATTACATGGATGATTGGTTAAGGTTGCTGTATTCCAACCACTTGCCCCCCGCCGGATCCAAGCAGGAAAATTTAGATTCTTTTATGTGAGGAAGCTTTTCAGCTAGATGATGGAACATTGATGGCTCTACTCAGATGCCAGCTTGTGTCTGAAATAATACACTGAGGAGGGCATGTGAGGAATTCCTCCGCTAGTAAAGCTGGGAAGACATTATTAATACATGTATCACCTCTTTAAAGTGTTGATGTGACTTGAAATCCAAAAACTCAAGCAAACATATTCTGGATGTAGAGATTAGTTTATTGTTTTGTTAGTGATGTCAAATGTAACTGTATTTCTTAACATGCAAAGTGTTTCTAGATTATCTATGAGTAAAAATTTGTTTTTCCCTCAAGAACATATAATTGCCAACTTCTCCACATGAATTGTTTAAAACAGTGTTGAAAGACAGTGATAAGATGAACTTTTAAGTTTGTAATTTCATTAATTTACATTTTTAACACAGTTTGCAATGATGGACCACTATATGACTCAGTCATTGAGTTTTCTATGCTGTCCATTAAATAATGTGGAGTCTGTAGTGAAGACAATGGATAGTGCTGATGTAGAACAACTTCGTCATCTTAAATCATTTATGAGGTAGTTATAAGTGTTTATCATTAATGATGTATTCATGAGTGTTTATTATTTATAAGGTATTTACAAGTGTTTTAATGAGATATGAGTGTTTATCATTTATGAGATATTTATTATGAGGATATATCATTGATGAGGTATTTATGAGTGTCATTTATAAGGTATTCATCAGGGTTTATCATTTATGAGATATGTATGAGTGTAAATCGTTTATGAGATATGTATGAGTGTTAATCTTTCATGAGGTTTTTATGTTTATCATTTATAACATATTCAGGTGTTGGTTATTAAAGTTTAGAAATATTGAATATTTAAGAGGTATTAATGTGTGTATAGAACTCTTAAAGGACATGTGAGTTATATATTAGTGTTTTGAGATGTCCTTGTCATCTATGAGGTGCTAATCAGACAGTCTGTAGAAAACTCCAGTCATTTACATGTTGTTTAAAGCATCACAGGAAAACATTTCCAATCACTTACAAGGACATCTGCAGGTTACTGATGGATATATTTTGTTAAATCAGTTACTATTTTAAGTTCATGATAACATTTTTGTGTCGCCTCTACGGAGTAGTGGCGACATATAGGGATCACTTCTTCTCCGTCTGTCCGAGCGCACGTCTGTCTGTCCGCCCGTCTGTCTGTCCGTCACAAAACTTGTCCGGACTACTGCTCATAAACTACTGGTGCAATTTCATCCAAACTTTACAGGAATGATCAGTACCAAATCTAGTTGTGCATATTGTCAGCATTTTCTGGTTCAATGATTTTTGTCAGAGTTATGGCCCTTCAATAATTTTTATTTTTAAAGTTTTTCCGGACTACTTCTCTTATACCACTAATGCAATTTCAATGAAACTTTACGGGATTGATCTGTAGATCAAGTCCTTGCGCATATTGCACAGGTTTTCTTGTTGAATGATTTTTGGCCGAGTTATGGCCCTTTGATAAAAAGGTGTTTTTATGCCCCCACAATGTGGGAGCATATAGCGTTGCACTTGTCCGTCCATCCGTCTGTCCGTCAGTCCGTACGTCCCAAAATCTTGTGAACGCAACTCCACTTAAACCGGATGGCAGATTTAGCTTAAACTTACAGGGATGAACAACCTTAATGTGTAGATGGTAGTAAAGGAAGGAATTTTTGCTGCGACCAAATTTAACAGAATTATGGCCCTTTGTTGATTTTTTCACTAGATACTATGTAGAAATTTTGTGAACGCAACTCCTCTTAAACCGGATGGCAGATTTGCTTAAACTTACAGGGATGAACAACCTTAATGTGTAGATGGTAGTAAAGGAAGGAATTTTTGCTGCGACCAAATTTAACAGAATTATGGCCCTTTGTTGATTTTTTCACTATATACTCTGTAGAAATTTGTGAACGCAACTCCTCTTAAACCGGATGGCAGATTTTGCTTAAACTTACAGGGATGAACAACCTTAAGGTGTAGATGGTAGTAAAGGAAGGAATTTTCGCTGCGACCAAACTTTACAGAATTATGGCCCTTTGTTGATTTTTTCACTTTATACAATGTAGAAATTTTGTGAATGCAACTCCTCTTAAACCGGATGGCAGATTTTGCTTAAACTTCCAGGGATGAACAACTTTAATGTGAAGATGTCAGGAAAGGAAGGAATTTTTGCTGCAACCAAATTTAAGAGAATTATGGCCCTTTGTTGATTTTTTCATTATATTCTATGTAGAAATTTTGTGAATGCAACTCCTCTTAAACCAGATGGCAGATTTTGCTTAAACTTCCAGGGATGAACAACTTTATTGTGTAGTTGGCAGTAAAGGAAGGACATTTTGCTGCGACCAAATTTAACAGAATTATGGCCCTTCGTTGATTTTTAGTTTTCAACTTGTGGCACATGTAGTCCAAAAAATATTTGACCTAGAGTCACAAGATTGACAGAACAGTGGTGTGTGGGGGCATCCGTGTCCTATGGACACATTTCTAGTTTTCTGTGTGTTGCCAGATACACAAAAGCTTGTCCGGACCATTCCTCATAAACTACTGGTGCAATTTCATCCAAACTTTACAGGAATGATCAGTACCAAGTCTAATTGTGCATATTGTCAGCATTTTCCGGTTCAATGATTTTTGTCAGAGTTATGGCCCTTTAATAATTTTTATTTTTAAAGTTTGTCCGGACTTCTTCTCTTAAACCACTAATGCAATTTCAATGAAACTTTACAGGATTGATCTGTAGCTCAAGTCCTTGCGCATATTGCACGGGTTTTCTGGTTAAATGATTTTTGGCCGAGTTATGGCCCTTTGATAAAAAGGTGTTTTTTTTTTGTGTGTTGCCAGTAAGGCCCCCACGACTACACGTTTAAACGGATTCGTTTCGATTTTCATTCATAAACGTTTACGATATTGTTTACCGTTTAATCGAAATGACCAACATTTCTTAATCATTGCCTGTAATCATGGATTTTATCAATTCTAGTGGTTTATTCCAAAGTAAACAAACGGAAAATGGGTGTTTACAACCCTCCACACAGCATTACCGTGAAAAATTGCTCGTGACATAATACATTTTTGGTAAAAAATGGGGTAACAATGCAAAAAATGTGTGCTGACTCAATCGTGATGAGCCTTGCACATTCTTTATTTGTACATGTATTAAAAATAGAAAGAAAGAAATCATTTGGCGACTCAAATACATGGTGTGTATAGTACTTAGAGGTACCACTGTTTAAACGGTATCGTTTCGGTTCTTAGCAGTCGTGTAAACGTTTACAAAAAATTGTAAACGTGGGAGCCTTAGTTGCCAGATACACAAAAGCTTGTCCTCACTACTCATAAACTACTGGTGCAATTTTATCCAAACTTTACAGGAATGATCAGTACCAAGTCTAGTTGTGCACTGTCCATCTGTCTGTCCGTCTGTCACAAAACTTGTCCCAACATGAAATTGGCCATCATGAGGCGACACATGTGATCACTGATCGCTCTTGTTTAAACATTTTAAATATAGGACATACTGTGGATTCTGTATGCTTCAGATAAGGTTATTTTATTCCTTTTTTTATTTCAGGTATGTAGAGAAATGTAGCGTTAAAGAACAACCAGATCTTTTATTAAAGGACTCATTTGCTAAGGTAAATATATAAATTTTGTCTGGAACTACTTTAGATGTATTATATGTATATAATTTGAATTTTTGGCTCAGCATATTATGCTGTGCCAAAAATTCAAATTTCAAACTTTGAGTCAGTGAAGGTAAAAAAAAAAACAATATCATTAGGTCAGGTCAAAGAAACACCATGATTACAGTGTACAGGTTGCAAATTTGAATAGATTTTGATTTTTTGTTTGTTTTTGTTACAATATTTGCGCTAATATTTTGGACGAATCCTGCCTAAATGATATTATGTTGGCCAGGTTTAGATATTTGCATAGATAAGAAAATAGATAATTTTAACATTTTGCCATCATAAATTAAGAACACAGACTCTTTCCTCATCTAAAATAATCTAAAAATTGATGTTTTTTGTTTGTTTGGGTTTTACATCACACCAGCTCAGTATAGGTCATATGGTGACTTTCCAGCTTTACTGGTGGTGGAAGACCTTTGGATGATTTCAGGCACTAATTGGCACATGAGTACAACCACTGACGTTTGGTCAACCTTAACTACTAAGCCATGGAATGCCCCATATTAATTTCTTTTTTCATATTTATATTATGATAATGTGAGTAAAATTTAAAATTATTTTCACAGGACAGGATCGTGGAGTTGATACATGCTATACATGACTATCAAACAGATTTCTTTCCCATTTTGAAATGTTTACATACTTTAGTGTGCAAATTACCAGGTTATCCCCTTGGCAAACAGGTAATTAGTATATTTTATATTGTCTAAGTTTTGATTTGCTCTCATACTATGAAAGTTATATTGCAAACAACTGTTAATATACCATCATATAGCCTGTCAAAAATCTTTATAAAGAATTTATAATGCAGCAAACTTCCTTTTTTGAGAAAAAAATATGATTTTTCATAAATTGAGGGCACACGTGTATATAAAACTATATAAACGTCACGATTATCCATGAAAAGCAACGTTACAAACATGCAGTTTTATAAAATCCATTAGTTGCATTTCCACTTCTTTGGTCATATACTAACTTTTGAAATTTATATAATAAAGCAAAGTTTATGTTGTCTTTTCAGGTTAGAGAAGTATATTCAGTGACTCTACAGACAAATGTGTTTGATACAGAAGACTATAAACAGGCGAAAGATTTACTCAAGTAAGTTCCAGCTTTTATACATCTCTAGAGCAAAATCTTTTTTTTTTCAACATGATGTTAATTCAACACATTGTGTCATATATGTATGTTATAAACTGAAAATAAGACTAAAGTTGGATGGATTTTTCTAATTATGTGGCCGCTTGTGCCTGAAATATTCCGGAGCTTTTCCTCCTAACTTAAAGTCTAGAATGTTATCAAATATTTACCATGTCAGTAGGGGCATCCGTGGCCAAGTGGTTAAAGTCTTTGACTTCAAACCACTTGCCCCTCACCGCTGTGGGTTCGAATCCCGACAGGGACTTTGGATTCTTTCATGTGAGAAAGCTATCAAACTAGCTTACGGAACGTCGGTGGTTCTACTCGGGGTGCCTGAAATAATGCACGGAAGGGCACCTGAGGTCTTCCTCCACCAGTAAAGCTGGAACGTCGCCATATGACCTATACTGTGTCGGTGCGACTTAAAATCCAAACAAACACAAACCATGTCAGTATGGGGGTATTTAGTAATAATAATAATAATAATAATAATATCTTTATTTAAAGAAGGTTACACATTAAGAACATACAATAACAATCATATATATCTTATTTCCAATGTGGCCTTCTGAAATAGAAAACAACAACAACAACAACAGGACATGCATAGGTAGAAAAATGAATGTATAATATGTAATTTTTAGAATAATACAACTCATATACTTTCGACAGACACTCAACAATTTGTTTAAACATATACGTATATTGCATCATTCGTTCGTTCGTTCATTCAGTGGGTACCTTTTAAATGATTGATAATAGCATGAAAATTTTGATTTTTGACCATGATTTAAACTATTTTGTATGAATTTAAAATTGTAAAGTCAATTTAATTTATATTTACGAGTACTGAATTTTGTCATGAACTGATTGCTTTGAAAAAGGTGTATTTATGTATGTTTATGTTCATGAATACTGAAAAATGATAGATTCAATTAATTAAACATTTCAAATAATGATAGAAAGTATAAGATAGAAATTCATATTTAGACAGTAATTTTAATGATACTAAATGTTGAGTTAGTTTGTCATATAATATACCCCCTGGTTTCAGAATGTTATCTAAAGATGAATTGGGAAGTTTATTACAACAGTGTTGTGGTATCCTAGCAACAGAAAAACGCCTTACTATTGTGCTTAAAGAGATGGAAGAACAGCTCAACAAAATAGACAATATTGATAGTAAGTAAGGGATAGAAAAATATTCAATGTCAAGTTTAAAAATTAGTTTATAGATATGGCAAATGTTGCTTTTTACACAAGCCACAACTTTCTCAAATATTTAATAGTTCATTATACATAATGTATTACTGGTCTAGTGCTTCAGACAAGTGACTTAAAATATGAAGCTAAAATTGTCACTTCATTTCAGTTCAGTTTATTGGCAATCGGCTATAATTTGCGTTTGGCCATTTACAATATTTTCAACTTATGGCAAAGACACTACTGGGCAGGAACCAGTTTCCGGACAGAATTCGAGTTTTTTTAATTGTCTATTTTTTAATAATAAACATGCATTAATAAAACTAACATATCAAAAACCTGAGCTCTTACTACATCCGATAACACAATTAATTCTGCCTGGTGACGTAAGCAATGTACAAACTGAAGGGTTAAATTAGGTCATTAAAAGTGTAAATTTTTCACATTTGCAGAACCAGTTTCCAGACATATATTAAGCTGCTATTCATATCTGTTTTTAACTGATAATTATTCTAATATAACAAAAAATTTCTTCTCACATATTAGCTTTCTTATATAATTAAGCTGATTTACTGAAAAATGTTTACGATCGGAAAAATAATTATCACGTGATTGGTCTTGGAATGCCTGAAAAGTGAAACGGATATTTGTGTGTTTACGGCAGCAAAGAAGTGCGAACGTGGAGTAAACCTAGCTAAACACCGTTTTCCGATACGTTACAGATTTAGCTCTGGGGAATTACACCCAATGAACTTCGAATGAAGTACACTGTGCATTTATTGCTACCCCAAATTATATCCCGAAATAAACAAAATATTGCGCATGCGCAGAACAAATTATATGCCCCAAAGGGATATAAGGCTGTTTTTAAAACACAGGTAAGATATCCTCACAAAATTTTAATGATGTATCAACTTGAAAGGAAGTTTATTTTCACAAACAATCAAACCAAGCATCTTCATGACATATAATACCGATCGTCATCGATAAAGCCAAAATTAAGCCGTTATAATACTTGTCCGGAAACTGGTATTGTCAGGAAATTGGTTCCTACCCAGTATACACATTGTAAACATGTACATGAAATTTATTGACAAAAGGCGAGAACAAAACCTATCAAACAAAATATATTTCAATACAAATCAATCTGTAGATGAAACATATAAAGTAGTAAGTAAAAGTTTTCGTAGATCCAATGCTTCCTATATATACCTACCTTGTATAAACATTTTTATGCCACCGCAGCAGCTGCGATGCGGTGGCATATAGCGATACACCTGTGTGTGTTTGTATGTTTGTGTGTTATGTAGATTATATAGTGAACTTAAAAAATCTTCTTGTGAAAAACCACTTGTCCAATTTCAACCAAACTTGGCAGGATTGATCCTTGGGTGAAGGGCTTCCAAAGTTGTTTAAAGAATTTCATTCCATGGAGAAATCTGGTTGCAATGGCAACCAAAAGGAATTATAAGAATAAATTTAAAAAATCTTCTTGAAAAGACCCAAAAGGCCTAGAGCTTAGATATTTTACATAAGGCATTATCTGGTAGACCTCTACCAAGATTGTTCAAATTATAGCCCTGGGGTCAAAATCAGCCCCGCCCCGGGGGTCATTGATTTTCACTATATATACATATAGTAAAAACTTAAAATACCTTCTTGTAAAGACCAAAAGGCCTAGAGCTTAGATATTTTTGCAAAGGCATTGTCTGGTAGACCCTTACCAATATTGTTCAAATTATAGCCCTAGGGTCAAAATCGGCCCCGCCCCGTGGGGTCATTGATTTTCACTATATGTACAAATAGTAAAAAACTTTAATACCTTCTTGTAAAGACCCAAAAGGCCTAGAGCTTAGATATTTTGCATAAGGCATTGTGTGGTAGACCTCTACCCAGATTGTTCAAATTATAGCCCTGGGGTCAAAATTGGTTTCGCCCCGGGGGTCATTGATTTTCATTATGTTCATATAGTAAAAAATAAAAAATCTTATTGTCTGAAGGTGCAAGGCTTAAAAAGCTTTAATATTTGTTAAATGACATCATCTATAGGTACTCTACCAAAGTTGTTCAAATTTTGCCTGCTTATTGTCAAAATTAGCCCCGCCTCGGGGGGCGGGGTGTCTGTTTTTTTTTTCTTCCCCATTCCAGGTTTCCTAATATGTATATTGTAAAAAACTTAAAAAATCATTTTCTCACTAAATTACAAAGGCTAGAGTTAAGATATTTTGCATGAAACATTGTGAAAGTGAACCTCTACCAAGTTTGTTCAAATTATTAGCTCTGGGGTCAAAATTGTTCCGCCCCGGGGGTCATTGATTTTCCATTATGTTCATATAGTAAGAAATTAAATAAAATCTTATTGTCTGAAGGTACAAGGCTTAAAGCTTTAATATTTGTGAAATGATATCATCTATATAGTCACGGACTCTACCAAAGTTGTTCAAATTTTGCCTCTAGGCTGTCAAAAATTAGCCCTTCCCACGGGGGCCATAAGGTTTTCCTTATATGTATATAGGTGAAAAACTTAAAAAAATCATCTTCTTCTAAAAGTTTTACAAAGGCTAGGAGTTAGATATTTTTGCATGAATCATTGTGAAGTGTAACCTCTACCAAGATTGTTCAAAATTATAGCCTGGGGTCAAAAATTGGTTTCCGCCCCGGGGTTCATTGATTTTTCATTATGCTACATATAGTAAAAAAAATAAATTTTTTTGTCTGAAGGTACAAGGGCATAGAGCTTTTGATGTTTGCTATATAATATCAAATCTATAGGTCCTCTACTAAAGTTGTTCAACTTTTCCCCTGGTGGAAAATTGGCCCTGCCCAGTGATTCTCATTATGTACACATAGTAAAAAAACAGAAAATAAAACAAATGTTTTTCTGAATGGGAGAAAGCTACAGCTTAGATATTTCAACTTAAAATGTTTGTTTGGTGGACCTGTATCAAGATTGTTTTGAATTAAAACCCTTGGGTAAAAATTTTGCCTTGCCTAAGGGGACAGTGACCTACTTTTCTTGTCCTTTGATGTACACGGGCAATGAAATTTGTTGACCAATGTGCACAGTTTTAGTTGTAAAATTGAACTTTGATATCAGGTGACCTAGATTTTTGATGATGTGACCTACTTGTCCTTTGATGTATAGCTATGAAATTTGAACCACTGTGCAAATCTAGATTAAGTATGTACAAGGTAACTTTGATATCAGTCTGACCTATAGATTTTTGAACAAAGTTTCTTACTGTGTTTGTCTTTTGATGTAGTTCATGAAAATTTTAGACTGTGTTGAAATATGACCTTCACTTACCAAAGTACTAGACTCAAGTGCATTGATATGATCTGTGTGAAATATGACCTTCACCACCAAATTCACTAGACTCAAGTTTCATTGATTGTATTCCACGTCTGATCTTTTATTGGCATTGAACAAATAGCTTTTAACCACTATTCTGATAATAAGAATTAGATCATGGTCCAGGCTTGGATCTTCTTATGCATTTTTATGAACAATCCTTCAATTGTATAGAAACAAAAAAAATCTGTTCCTACACTACTATTTAGTGTTGTATTAATGCGGGCTGCAATAGCATTTTTCTCAAATGCAATCTTGTTTTATTACTTGAGGGCATCAATTGGTTAAATTTTTAAATAATTGGCCATGAACATTGACCTAAAAAGTTTCGGTATACCACAATAATATGAAGGATTTTCTATATTTAGATATTGTGGAGGAGGTGGACGAGGAGAATAAGGAACCAGCCGACACTAATTTACCTTCCAGGACCTCATTACATCAACTTAGACAAGTATGTAAGGTCCTTTTTAGCTCGACTATTCGATAAGAATAAGTAGAGCTATTGCAGTCACCCGAGCGTCGGCGTCGGCGTAACCACTTATGTTAAAGTTTTTGTAATAGTTAAATATTTTCAAAGTCCATAGACATATGGCTTTGAACCTTTGCACACTTGTTCACCATCATGACCCCAACCTGTAGACAGGAGGAGGTAACTCTATCAAGCATTTTGACAGAATTATGCCCCTTTTTCGACTTAGAATTTTACGTTAAAGTTTTTTGTAATAGTTCAAATATTTTCAAAGTCCATTGACATATGGCTTTGAAACTTTGCACACTTGTTCAACATCATGACCCCAACCTGTAAACAGGAGAGGTAACTCTGTATCAAGCATTTTGACAGAATTATGCCCCTTTTTCGACTTAGAATTTACGTTAAAGTTTTTGTAATAGTTCAAATATTTTCAAAGTCCATTGACATATGGCTTTGAAACTTTGCACACTTGTTCACCATCATGACCCCAACCTGTAAACAGGAGGAGGTAACTCTATCAAGCATTTTGACAGAATTATGCCCCTTTTTTCGACTTAGAATTTACGTTAAAGTTTTTATAATAGTTCAAATATTTTCAAAGTCCATTGACATATGGCTTTGAAACTTTGCACACTTGTTCAACATCATGACCCCAACCTGTAAACAGGAGGAGGTAACTAAAGCATTTTTGACAGAATTATGCCCTTTTTTCGACTTAGAATTTACGTTAAAGTTTTTGTAATAGTTCAAATATTTTCAAAGTCCATTGACATATGGCTTTGAAACTTTGCACACTTGTTCACCATCATGACCCAACCTGGAAACAGGAGGAGGTAACTCTATCAAGCATTTTGACAGAATTATGCCCCTTTTTCGACTTAGAATTTACGTTAAAGTTTTTGGTAATAGTTCAAATATTTTCAAAGTCCATTGACATATGGCTTTGAAACTTTGCACACTTTTTCACCATTTCATGACCCCAACCTGTAAACAGGAGGAGGTAACTCTATCAAGCATTTTGATAGTATTATGCCCCCTTTTTCGACTTAGAATTTACGTTAAAGTTTTTTAATAATAGTTCAAATATTTTCAAAGTCCATTGACATATGGCTTTGAAACTTGTGCACACTTGTTCACCATCATGACCCCAACCTGTTAACCTGTATCAAGCATTTTTTTTACTAATCAACGCACTAAAATAGTCGAGCGTTCTGTCCTACCGACAGCTCTTGTTATATGAAATGCTTATTGATTTATATTGTTGGTAAATCTTGACTTTTATATATACTAAATTATGTCTTACTCTGAAAATCTCTAACCTCGCACCGCTTGGGGTTCAATCCCATTAGCAATTTTTGATTCTTTCATTTAAGTTATGTAAGCTACTTTACTGAACATCTGTGGTTTCTAACTTACTGTCGCTTGTGCAAAATTAATGTACAAAGGTTTACCTGAGATCTTCTTCCCCAGTTTGGGAAAGTTGTTACTGACATTAACATGTTGGGGTGACTTAAACCAACAAAACAAAGAAAAAACAAACTGTTCGACCATTGGAAAAATTTTTTAGACTTGATCTGTATTTTCCCGTGATTTTCCGTTTTCATTTCTCCCCTAGGGATCACATTTTCCAAGAATCTCTATTGTTATACAACTTGTTTAACTAGCTTTTAATGTTTTTATGTAAATATGGGCCTAACCCTTGGATTCAGCATCATTCAGAAGTTTGAGTCCTGGCATAACACCACATGTGTTTCATGAAAAGGCTCAAGGAAATTTCTTATTAATTTGTATCCAAAATTTTTTTAGAAAATTTTTATGATATGATAATGATGAGGTGGAGATAATTTAAAAAAAATTTTTTTGTTATTAAAATTTCAATTTGTTTTTGGATTTGAAAGGTTTATCATGATATTTTTCTGATATAACGAAGAGAACAAATTAACTGCTAATGTTTCATGAAATAAAATTTTTTTTTACTCCCAAAAAAAATTTTTTTTTCCAGAGACTTTTTAAGAAAATAGTAAAAAAAAAAGAATTGTCTCCATATGAAAGCTTGAGAAGAAAATTTTTTGATCATTTTGATGCTTTATTTTAGGTAATGTTATTTTTAAAACCCCCTTATTATTTTACTATACTGGGTGAATACAGACTTTTAAATGAAGATTATGCAAAAGTTTTTTCATGTAATAAGGAAGTCTTTCAAAGTTTATATATCACCTACGTATTAGCTACTGGAAAATTTAAAGGTGGATATTTAATTTGGCTAAAAGTAGCACAATGTACAGAAAATATGAATTTTAATGGTAAGATCTTTACAGCTTATATGGTGTGCTTGTAATGTTCTATGTAATCCTAATCTAGCCAACTTTGGTTATTATAAAACTTAGCAATTGTTAAAAAAGGGTCATATAAACCTTCAACAGGTGTTGTTATGTAACAAAAGATTTGTGTTCACCTTTAAAGATAAGTACTTGTAATAAATAAAAAAAGAACGATTTTAATATAGATGTAACTACTCTGGTTCAGGTTTTGCCCAATTAACCTAAGAGTAGATTTGCGAGTTATACCTTCAGCTTTATTTCAGATGGGTTGATGGTTTAAAGTCAGGAGTCTCTTGCCTTGCTGGAAATATTGTGCAGAATGAAATGGGAAAGATATATCCTCATACTTAAGCTTGATAATTGCAGTTTGACCATACTTAATAGTGCCGGAGTAGTTTGGATAGTAACACTAATATAATTAGAGTTTCAAACTTGCATAATACTGTAACCCAACGAATATTCGCCACCAATTAATATTCGCTTTATTCGCGAATGGCCAGCGAAGCGCGAAATATTTGTTTTGCGCGAAATAAGTCCAGCACCGATTTCGCGAATTAATTGGCGGAGAGAAATTTTTATTTTAGACGTGGTTATGCCCAAAGCTACTTGACCGGATATATTCGAATTTTACGGGCACCTGTTAGGAAAGTAATGAATTGTATTGAATATATGCCATAAAAGCACAAAAAAACACAAACCAAGTAAAACTACTACTATTTTATCCCAATATCAAAAGAAACACTATGTCAATAATAGCAACTCAAATTAAACATCCACATTTTAATACAGTTATAAAATACTATGTAGGCCTATTGTCAATCACGTTCCGTTATAGGGGATGACTATACGGAACATGTGTGTCAGTTTTAAGTTTCTTCATGATTTTACACTTCTATACAAAGTATATGCATACAAAGTACTCGCACTTATTTTAAAATAAAATGTTTGAATAAATCGTTTGACAAAAATGGGAAACTAGTGAGCATCAAGCAAAAGGCTATTGTTTTTAAGGATCCCTATAAAATAATTGTTTGAGTGAATTGGTAAGACAAAGGTGGTATAAACCTATCAAGCATCACAAAAGGGTATGGGTGTACATAATTACAAACAGTGAAATACAAGATTGTTTCATACTTGTATCGATTTTTACCCGTCAAACTTAACAGCCTGTATAGCTCAATTGTTTAGATTGCGGACTCATATAACATAATTTTCTCGCCATGGGTTCGATCCCTGATTGCAGAAGGTATTTTTTTTTATGAAACGCTTAAATTGAATTTCTTAAAGACTTTTCTAGATAAAATGAAAACGAACGATGCGTACATGTACATATATAGAGAACATTTTTTGCTGAATTGTGACCACACTTCACTTACCAATACAATATAAGGCTAGCGTATTGTTAATCCCATTTAAGACACCAATAATGATCTCAATTATTGAAGATTAATAGTCGGCTAATGGATTTTACTGCCCCATCGGACTTTCCAATCCGCGATTTTTTTTTTCGAAAATCAAGAAAACGCGGAAATTAATATTCGCGAATATGTCCGACCTCGGCAAAACGCGAAAATTTGTATTCTCAAATATAAATTGGGTTACAGTATTTTGTTGAAATATTTGATCCTCAGATACCTAGCATTGCTAGCTCAGGGGTAAATTAATAAGGAATTGAACCTGAGCTTGTTAAGTTTGAATTTTAACATTTACTACATCTTCTTCTTTATGATTTGGTAAAAGAAATAATAAATTAATATGCCTCAACTTATTGACAACAAATGTTTGATGGGAAAGATGGCAGAGAATTTTTTTTACCATATACGGTACCATATAAATTGTTTTTTATGATGCTTAAGTACAGTGATGCTTGTATTTTATTTGCAGAAAATACTTGATATGTCCTCTGAATGTACCTCTACACGAGATATTCTACTATAATTCATCCCGTACCATTAAACAACGTCTCAACGCCGCACCGAGATCCGCCCTACAAATGGCTCTCAGTAACCCACACTATTATCTACAGGTAAACAGAATCCATCTTTATCTTTTCGTTCTTAATTGTTAGTTTATACAAATTTATTTTTGTTTGATATAGCTTATTGAAACATTCTTGAATCCATTCTTGGAACCAATCTGTACTAAGCAAGTGTAAAGTTTCTTGCTCACTTAAACAACGGCTTGTCCTTGATTGGGTTTGAACATTTAGTATGGTTTCAATTATGCTGTCGGACCAGTAGTGTATTTTTGTACTGAAATTAAGATTTATGGTTACATACTGAACAGTTGATGATGTTTCCACTGAAAACAAGGGGATTTGTTTGGCAAGGTGAAGGTTCGTGACATTAAAGCATTTGATTTATACATTTTTAGTAGTTAAGTAGCTAGGTTACGGATGTTGATTTTACCGGGTTCTTACATGTGTCTTAACATTTAACCTGCTGGTACCGGTTGAATACACCCATCCAACCAGTGCAGACCAAGATCTAACAGCACATCCATGTCATCTGATTATGTTGTTCACTTTTTGCTATTCAGTCTGTACATATTTTTAAAAATATGTATTTTTGAAAATATATTGGTGTTGTCATGATAGAAAGATGGACAAGTCTATTTAAGATATTAAACATGGTATGAGTTGAATTATAAGGAAAATCTTCTCCCTGTTACTATTAAAGCTTGGTAGTGATCAATGCAAATCAACTATATTTGTCTGACAAAAAGTCCAACAAGTATAACTCAGATTTTTACACATTAAAAAAAAATTTACTATTTTCAGATTTTTTTTTAAAGCCAAACTATCATGAAAGCAAGGAGATTTGTATTTGTATACAAACAGACATTTAACATTTCAGTGCGAGTGTTGTATGACAGAATCTGGTCAGATCAAATGTATGATGCCAGATACATGTATAATATATAAACTACACCTGGAGTGTGGGCAGCTCATAAATCTGTATGACTGGATGCAGGTAAAATTATAGTTCTGTTAGCTTAACTTTGAATAATGGGTATACATGTATATGTTTGTCTTACTAATATAAGCCTGGCCCCTTACTAATATAAGCCTGGTCGGTGATCACTAAGAAAATATCAGGATCAGGATCAAATGATCCTGATTTTATTTTCATTAAAACTAAAATTGATTTTATTTACATTAAAACTGCAAAAATTACAATATATTTATTCTAAAATTTCATAAACATGCTATTTCAAGCCCAGTTTTATTCAGTTAATGTTAAATATTTAATCTATGAAGATAAATTATTGAGAATGTTTGAGTTTTAAAATTTGACGCTAATCCTAAAGTTTTTGGGAACACTGGGCCTGCTTCAATAATGCTGGATGTTTAATTTGCACTTATCAAACGCATTTAACATTGAAGTTATTTAAATTAAACTTTAGAATTGTAACTGGAATAATAGTTGTACATGCAGGTCACTATTGAAGACTAATAACTTTAGTGTGGATTTTATATTGAATTTTACCCCTTGGTGAACTTTATAAATTTTTGATTAAAGTTTAGTGGCTATGTTATTTATTTTTCAGGCATACTTAACCGTTGTTCAACCAGATGATGATGATGAATCTAAAGAATCTGCTCAAGAACTACAGTATCCTTGCCTAACTAACTTACTCTAGATTTTGTTATAACCGTTGCCTGGTTTGACCTACCTTTTCATGGTCCTGAACATATGATTTTAGCTTAAAAGTCCACCACGTGTGGGAAGCATTTGGTCTGAACTTTTCAGCTCTTTAGGTTTGAATCTTTAACACTGTTGACAGAAATGCCTAGAAATTATTAGTCATGAAAAGTTAATTGACCAATCAAAATAAATTAAAACAGTGGTATTGTTAACTAGTAGATATATATGTCAAATGAGGAATACTTTTCTATGTGACAAAGAAATTATAATGTATGCATTATATTGTAGATTATCTTTTCCCCTTAACTCACACATTATCAGGGCACGTTTCATACAAGCAGTGTCGCAGCTACAGTTCCTTGGATTTGTGAAACCAACAAAGAGAAAAACTGATCACGTGGCCAGACTGACGTGGGGAGGATGCTGATTTTGAAAAAAAATTGTTGAAATAGAACAGATAATAAATGCACCTATTGAAAGGAAGAAAAAATATGTTGAAATAGAACAGTTATAAAATGAATTTCTTAATCGCTGTTTATTTAATGCTGCAAATAATGTAAAGAAATTCATGTGATTTGAAAATGGTGTTGAAATTTGATGTTTTCTTTTTTGATCAGGTGGCGGAATGGAAAGTTTTTAACACCAAGGTGTTAATGATATACCAGTCTAGTGCTATTATAGGTTAAAAACAAACTTATCTCATTGATCCAGAAATAGTGCTGTTATTGCGTATATATAGCTATGTTGACATAAAATACTATAAATAGATACAAGTAAATTGTTATTTTTAACATTTTATTACGCCTTACAGTTGAGGTCATTGTAATAGAGCGGTTTACGATTACATGCATTGATTTTGAATCAATTGTTCTCCCATGCTTAGAGGGACTTTTCTTTTCAATGGTTTATTTCAGGAATTTTTTTATATCTTTTTCATGTAAGGAATCTAAACAGCTAGCTTACCGAACATCGGGTGCCAGCTCATGTCTGAAATAGTGGTACGAAGGGGCACCCGAGGCCTTTCGCCTTCAGTAAAAGTTGGTATGTGACCATTACAGTTTCGGTGCAACAAAAAAAAAAACATGTATCTGAAGACACTGTTGTAAAAGAGCAAAAGGAATTTACGAGAACCACATGTTGATTTCATTTTCCAAAGCAGGAAGTAGACTTTGACAATACTCTTATTTAGCCAAACAAATATTCAGATTTTACACAAAACATTTGCTCGTTATTTGGTTGAATAATGGAAAACTATGTCCCTTTTAATAAACAAAATAAAATAAGAAATTAAATTTAAACCGCGGACAAAAATGACTACCATAATATCTGTCATTTACTGAATGTTGCCAGCTGCCACTATTAACTTAAACATCCATATAGTATTGGATGGTGTAGTTACTGAATTCAATTTCCCTCTTCTCAACATTGTGTCTTAACCCTTAGCCTATTAGGCGGCAACTGATTCTTCCCCGTGCGACAAGTGCAGACCAAGATCAGTCGACATTGTTCGCTATTTGGTCAGTACTTATTTTGAAATTTTCACTAAAAATTATAAGTGGTTTTGTCCAGGTTGTAAGATGGACAAGTTCATTTCAGATATTTATCGCGGTTAGACTTATTGTATAATGTACTTGGACGTCACTGCATAATCATAAAACACCAACCTTCTCGTCATTCTTTGTAATTTTGGACTGTTTCGGGTTATTTTATGAATTTATAACATTGTTCGAGAGAGGGTCGACTATGAGAAGAAAATACTATTGTTTCAAATTTTCTCTTTGGCGTCATATTTGATATATTTGAAGAAAAAGTGGGACATTGCTGAACGAAATAGTATTAGACTAATCTCCATCGTAACCAATTTTACATTCGTGTATCGTTTAATGTCACAAAAGGACATGTGAAATTCATAGGAAAATAATTATTTTTTAGTTGTCATGCCATAGTGCGTGTAACGAGACGTTTGAGAGCTATACAAAAAGAAGACACATGAGCCGTGTCACGACAAAACTAACGTACTGCGTTTGCGACCAGCATGGATCCAGACCAGACTGCGCATCCGCGCAGTCTGATCAGGATCCATGCTGTTCGCTATCAGTTTCTCTACTTGTAATAGAGTTTGTAAGCGAACAGCATGGATCCTGATCAGACTGCGCGGCTTGTCTGGATCCATGCTGGTCGCAAACGCACTATGTTGGTTTTGTCGTGACGCGGCTCATATCCACTATTCTGCTTTTAATGACATACGTGACAGGAATTTTCCAGAAAATTAAATTACATGTCATGACAGTTTGTTGATTCAGGCAAATAAGTCCACAGCAGACGATTTGCATAGATTGTTAACAATGCGAGCGTCTATATATGACGCATGGATTTATTGCGATGCCGTCACTTTAGTAAAATAAATACAAGCGAAATCAAAGCACTGCAAGCAGTATTTAGTTGAAAAAGTTTGATTGTTGAATTTCCTTTGGGATAGATCTAGATCTACATGTATTTTGATATTATTGAAAGTAATTCTATCCGCATTGTTTCTTTGCTTTCTAATGCGAATTCAAGTAGAATAAATAATTTGTTATTTTGCACGACGTTGTTATAGATTTTTATTCATTTTCTACATCAAAATAAAGCTAAATTATTTTGTTTTAACAATTTATTATAGCTTTTCTGGCTTAGGCCTAAAGAAACAATAGTGTGATGCATATTAACTGAGCACGAAATGCAGGTATAAATGTATTTTGAGGAAAACAGCATCCATGCATACAGCATGGATTACTTCAATGGTGCTATGTTTGACATTGGCCCAGTTACCAACCATTAACATTATTTGAAGTAAAGATTCTACCAGTTAGCGTTTGATTTGCTCTAATAAATACATCATTATATTGTTCGCAGCGTCCTTGACAGTAAGAAGCAATAATTCTCTCAGTTTCATGGAACTACAACTAAGTGTTCTAAGGATAAATAGCTATTATAAAAATGGAACTAACATATAAAAAACATATACCAGTGAAATGGACGCAAATAAAGTAAATGATAAAACCCTAAAACTCTTGTTGGCCATATTTCACTGATCGTTGTTTTCTATTCAATATCAACTACTTACTACATGTATCAGAAATACGAGACAATATTTCCGACAAGGCTGTCGGATAATTTTACCGATTAATTCTCAATAGCTTTGAGGTTGCGTAACTGTCTGGCTTATGTGACAGAGTTAGAAACTTCTTTTTCAAATTTAACAAAAAGGTGCTGAAAATTTCCTGTTAAAAGCGTTCAAATGTACTCATTGGGCCGTAGGGACCTGCATAGTTTACCCTAGTTTGTTAAACGTAATAAACAATAAATAAGACGCCTTATTTGGCTTTTGACAGTACAGTGTAATTTGTATGTAAGAAAATGTTTTGGAAATTTCTTTGTTCTGTGAGAAAAATTAATATTAAAAATCAGTGAAACGAGAATGAAAATCAAGAATGAACACCGTGTTTATGGAATTGTGAAAATAGCGCAGGAATTATTCAAAAGTAACGCCGAACCTGTGCAATATATATTAAAATGTAACGAGCAACGTAAAATAAAATAGATACAGGTACATCTTCACTGTCGTGCAACATAAAATGCACCCTTCGTAACCAATACAAAGACAGTAAATTAGCCAATTAAAGCGTCTTAGCCTGTCGTCTTTTGAGGCGAAGACTGAACGCCAGGACAAGTATTAGGCACCGATACGAAGATTTATGCCCGCTGACACCATAATTCTACAGTTCGCCTTTAATTAATTCAATATTTTGCCTAAATTGTATCGTGTCTTCGTGTCGGCGCCGTCATGAGTCAAAGGCGTAGACATGATAAGTGGGCATATTATTTTGTCTTCGACTTAGGGGAAGGCACGAAATGGCAGAAATCAGCCAACATAACATGGCAAAATTGGTACAGGTTAACTTAACGTTATTGAAACATAACAATATATTTTCCCAGTCAGTAACCTGCTTTTCAAGAAATAATTTTATCCACGACTGTGACGATTTGTTATATACAGATTTCTTTTTCTTCCGTGATAAAATATACTTCGGCCACTTTGACACTTTTTGGGTCACGTGCGAGTGGTGATTCAATAATTGGTGGAAGAAACAATACAACTCCTGTGATTTATTTCAGGCACATTCGTTTACTTGAGGAGTACATCTTGCTTACACATTCGAAATAATTCTGCCAAAATGACATATTCAGAATGTGTGTTGAATTGTTGTTTTCACTTTATTACATGCTTTTCGGTGGTTTATAGAAATATATCAGTGATATAAAACTGGTAATTTCACTGTTTGAAACAGTGAAATTACCACTTTGATAATTTCACTGTTTTGAATTTAAGCCCCTTACGTTGTTTCGGTGAAATACCAGCGTGCACAGTACTGGGTACCAACTTAATGACGTGACGTCGTAAATGACGTCACGTTCTATTATTATTTGGCGCGCTTTTCATTCAGTATTAGGTAAAATGTCTTTTTAAAACGTTTCAATGCATATAATAAAAAGAAAATTTGTTTAGTTTAGTGTAAGATTGAAATATATTTCACCTTGTGAACACCAAAAGTTCATATTTCACTCGTGGCTGCGCCACTCGTGAAATATACTTTTTGCTGCTCACTCGGTGAAATATATTTCGATCTTACACTGAACTAAACAAATATCCTCTATTTCTTACGGGATTTCCGCTGCCTATAAATGAATTTATTGTAGGCCTATTTGTAATGCATCACCGGAATTAGATCTGAAAAAAACCCCCTTCAACCTAACCGCTTTGTCATAAAACTTAGATATATACATCAATATAATGTATTTTATTGTGTGTGTGACACACAGGTGTCCAAAGTATTGTTGGAACTCATAAATATTTCTATTCCTAAGGGTGCTTATATAAATGTGCGGTTTTATCTATACTGATATTTGCTCTAATAAATTAAGTTGTAAATGTTGGTAGACATGTAAATTTATTATTTATTTAACTATCCTACATTCTATAATACACTGTGTCAGCGTACATGTTTTTTTACCAAGATAACATGTCGTAAACTGTATGGCCATATCTTAAATGGTAAGATTTGATGTAGTAAAGAGGAATCAAGAATTGTCACATCCATATGTATTAATCGCTCAATCCAATGGTCTATTTTTAACACACAATCGGTATACATGTGTAACTTTGCTAAATAGATATTTAGTTCGCTTTCTTTACATGAAAATGTTATTACTTTGTTATTTTTAATAATATGCTCTAGTTGTGTACGACTGTTAATTAGTCATGTGACGAAGGCAAAGAACGGGGATATCTTCGGGACCATACTACCCCTACATGCTCCCCCCCCTCTCGAAAAAAACAAAACAAAAACGAATACGAAACATTTATTTGCTTTAAGCATAACACAATAATTATAACATGTATAAGAAGTATAGATTGTAAAATATAAAATGTTAGGAGATCAAAACATGGATTTTACAGCTAACATAAAGATGATTCATGGAATATTATGTTTAATATTTAATCTGTTGTGCTTGCATGTATAAGTTTCAAATAAACAGACGTGAACCTAAATATTCTTAAAAGTCTTCACTTAACTTATTCTATCATTTTCTGAAATATAAAGACATGAAGAACACTAAAGTCTTATAGATTTAAAGTAATGTTCACTGTTGCAAGTTAGTTTTTTTGGAAAAATATTCATGCAAACGCAAACCTCTTCAAATACATTTCA